ATTTTTTTTCCCCCCCCCCCCCCTTTTTTTTCTTCTTAATAACTTGTTCTATAAAGGGGCAGTTCATGCTAAAAAATTGGTATTATATCCTACTACAATGAGAACTATTAGAGTTAAAGGAATATTGTGAAATTGTCATTAGTTATCCCTTTTTGTATTAGCTATTTAATAAATACTGTAATTATTTATTTCTCCTGTTCTGAGGAATCTTTTAGACTATAGTTTAACTTATCTTTTTTGAGTACACCAAAAATCTTATGAGAGAATGTTAGTCCACGGTCTAAAATGTTATTGGAAATGTTAGACCACCAATATTTTGTATGCAAACTGAAAATTATATTAGCAAACATTAAATTTGAGACTAGATTTATCTGGAATGAGTAATTCTCAGGGGTTATATTTGCATAATTTTCAAATGAGGACAAAATCTAAACATTGGCCTAAAAAGGGATATTTACGTAAATCAGACAAGATGTCTATTTTGTGGCCCAATCAGATAATGGATTCTGATTTGGGCCAATTATGGGCCTCCCTTTAGTTTGTATTGAGTTGGAGGGTAGCCCAATGTATCATCCTTTAAACCAAAGTATTCTATTTACTTTAAAATTAATAAAGAGAATCTTATAGAAATACGGGGCATTTGCATCTATACCCGCTTTTTTTGTCACGTTTTAACTTGTGCCCGCTTTGCAAAAAAAATTGCAAGCGTACCCACTTTTTCGCGTAATTTCAGCATTCTAGTAGACGGGCCTGAAGTAGCAAATATTGTGAACCAAGTGTGCTGAAGTTTTTGTTTGTAATTGCTGAACTTAAACATAGTAGCTGAAGTTTTGTTCTCTATTTGCTGAAGCTTCTGTTTGTAATTGCTGAACTTAAGCATAGTAGCTGAAGTTTTATTCTCTATTTGCTGAAGTTTTTGTTTGTAATTGCACTAAATAAGCTGAACTTTTTTTTTGTCCTCAATTCATTAGTTTTGTCATTAAGCTTTTTCAAAAATTTCAGCAGAAGATGCTGAAGTTATTTAGTTTATTTATAAAAACTTCAGCACTAAATAAACTGAAGTTTTTTTTGTCCTGGATAAGCTTTTTCAAAAACTTCAGCAGAAGATGCTAAAGTTATTAGTTCAGTTGTAAAAACTTCAACACTAAATAGGCTGAAATTCTTTTGTCCTGGATTCATTAGTTTTGTCATAAAGCTTGTTCAAAAATTTCAGCAGAAGATGCTGAAGTTATTTAGTTCATTGGTAAAAACTTCAGCACTAAATAAGCTGAAGTTTTTTTGTCCTGGATTCATTAGTTTTGTTCAGATACTATAAAATAATTAGATTGCCAACAGTATCTAAATCATAAAATTTTGAAAACAATAAACGTGAAAAGGACATAATTATCATGAAAAGAATCACTAAGTGTGACCTTAAACTTCTCGTACTTGGGAATATTCATAAATTATTGTCTACTAACTTACATAATTATTTATAATTTATTTTTAAATAATCTAATAAACATACTTATGACAATCATCTCATGAACTGAAGTTTCATAGCAGCACCAACATCAGCAGAAGAAAGAAGAAGAAGAAGAAGAAAAATAAATGAAGGAGGAGAAGGAAGAGTAGAAAGAGGGTTGAAATTAAAAAGTGGGTAACAAGTTAAAACTTTTTTTAAAAAAATGGGTATAGGTTAAATGGGGGCGACCAAATAGGGCGCCCCGTGCAATTTTTACCAGAAATATCCCAAATAAGTCCCAACTTACCAACCTATAGCCATTAATTATAGACTTACCAAAACTAGCCAAACACGTATAAAAATTGAAAACCCAAATAAATAAGGTTCTTTCTCTCCAAGAATCACACGCAAAGATTCCTTCCTTATATTTTAGCGTGATTAGCAACCTTAGATGCAAGACAAAAGAAAATTTCATGGATGAGGTGGCGAATAAGGTGATGAAACTCAATATATATATATAATTCCAAGCAAAAAAAGACTTTTTTTTTCCAATGGATATGGTTGAAATTCATTGAAAACATATAGATTAGTCAATAAACAAAATTTGAGGAAGATTAGAGGTGGTTCTGACTGATTTGGTATCCAAATTCGTAGTTAAAGTCAAGCTAAAAAAAATCTTCTGCGACACATGTATCACGCATGTATCTCACACACAGGTATACATGGATATACGTGTGATATTCATTTGATACAAATATGACACATATGTGATGCACAAATAATACACATATCATTTTTTTCTAGTTCCTCTTCTACTTCGAATTTTCAATTCAAACCACCTCAAAACTCCACCAAATCATCCCAAAACTGATATTCAAACTCCTTAAGATGTACCCAATCAATTCTAATAACACCACTAAAAAGAAAGCAAAAAATTAACCTTTTTTGGCTACAAATAACTAATTGGCTTATATTGATAATAATTGGCTAATATTAATAATATTTTATGAATTGATCAATTTTTGTAATAAGCTACTTATAAATGGACATATATAGCTAGTAGTTTCCCATTAATAAACCTCTGGCTTAGATAACTTTGAGTTGGTCTTCTTCAAACTTCATAATCTCTGATGTATTTCCATTTGCTTAGTCTATCTGCTAATTAAGCATGAATTATAATAACAACGATACTAATGACGTGAAGATGAGAAATACAAGTGTATTAACTTCGGTTTTCTTTTTGGGTAGTGAAAACGATAATTATATTAATTATGCATGGTTACAAAACGGGCTCTCTATGTTGAATAAACTCCAAATCAATTACGTAAAAGAAACCGAAAAAGGCAAACATTTGCTTTGTTCAAAAACCTTTACAGCTTGTTTGGATGGTTGTTACGCATCGTTTCATAATGTATCGTATCGTACTGTATTGTATTGTATCGTTTAATAAATACAATGTTTGGATAGATTGTGTCGTTTGCCATCATTTCATGATATCACGTACCAGTATTATGAAGAATAAACTTGAAATATTATAAGGAAAAATCATGATGCAAGGTAAAATTACTATATAAAAAGATATGGTAAATGATAAAATAAAATAATTTAATAATAATAAAGGGTGAGATTGAGAGAAAAAGACAAGGTAACGACGCGACCACACGAAATCGGTCGTTACATAAAGTGGCACATTTTGTTATTATGTAACGACGGATTTAACGATACGATACAATAAAATTTAAGTAACAATCAAAACAAACATTGTATTTAAAGTAACAATACGATACAATAATAACAACCATCCAAACAAGCTGTTAGTTATATATATGAGGTTGCTATTATCCTTGCTAGAATTACAAGTAGGATTTGGGGAGAGTGTGTACGCAAACCATACCCTTACCCTCCAAGTAAAATTGATGTTTTCGATAGACCCTCGGCTCAAGTATAGATGAAAAGAAAACAACAGTAACAAATAGTAACAACAAAATATTAGGAAAATGAAGCGAAAAGACCAGCACATAGTAATAGAAATCTAATAATATTAGAAAATAAGACTAACATTACTACTGGAATAGGAAAAAACACTCAGGACTACATACTAGCCTACTATCATATTATCCTTACTAGAATTGTTATACAGAAATAAAGAAACTAGAGTCTTTCTGTGTTTATACAAGTATAATTAAAAAAAGAAATGAATAGAATAATCAAAGAATTTAGTCGTTTGGTACGCGGAATAAAGTGGGATAAGATGTGAGATTAAATTTATATTGTTTGGTTGACGGTATAAATTTATCCCAGAATAAATTTAGACCGTCAATCAAATACAATACAAATCCCATCAAACTTGAGATTATTTTATCCCACATTCCAGATGGCATAAATTAGTCCAAGAATTATAATCCTAGGAATATAATCTCGGGATAATTTAGTCCGCCTACCAAACGACCCACTTTAGGGCTCTATTATCTTGGATATCAAGTTAAGAGATGAATTTGTATACATGGAGAATTACCCCAAGCATAAGAATGTGTCCTCAAAATCTCCATAGCTTTTTTCTTTAAATAATCTTCACAATCTGCTTGAATTACCATGCAAAGTTTTGAAACAGCTCCAACTCTCAACATCTCAATCAACACTTCTTTTGTAGCAGAAAATTTGGAAATTGATCCAAGAATTTGAATTGCACAATCATCTGTAGTTGAAGAAACCCTAAGTGTCCTTTTAGTAATAACACTAATTCCAGCTGCATGTTTCAAGAACTCCGCCCTCCCATCAGCACAGGTACATAGATGAGCCAATATACAAAATATTAATTCGCTAACCCTTTTTTCTGTGTTACATAATTCAAGCTCGATTAGCTCGAAAATGGCTCCCGATTCGATGATTTTATGCTTGTTTCTTCCCCATGGGCAAGTATCTATTAGCACTTGTAGTGCTACTTTTGTTGCTTGTTGAGAGATGTGATGTTTGCTTTCTTTTCGTAATATATTTACCATTTCTTGAAAAAACTCGGGTTGTAACCCTGATAAAAGATTTGAACTCGAGATCTCTATGACGTTTTTCAACACCATCATTGCATGAGTCTTGATAATAACTTGATTATTGTTCATCATTTCACTCCTTAGAATCCATAAAATAGCTTCAATTAGATCATGATTTTCCTTCACAAGTTGCTCATTTTTAGTTGTTGGGCTCCAAACTAGGTGAAAAATTCTCAAAGCATGTTCAAGACCATTGATTAGTTTTTTTTCTTTAAAACTTTTCACAATAAAAGAAACCATAGCCTTAATTGCACCAACTTCTTCTAAGCATTTCTTGTTCTTCTCATTCTCAATCACCAAAGCTTCAATTTTCCTCAATGCTTCAATACAAATCTGATGATTATTCACCTGGGATATACGTTATATATACTGTCAGTACAAAATATTTTACACTATACATCAATGTAATTTAACCAATTAAAATAGATTATTAATCTGTATTTCAAGTTATCAAACCATATTTGCTATAAACAATATACTATATGTTAACTATGGATAATATAATATGATAGTGCAAATAATTTATGCACTCTCACAGCGAAGAATTTTCACGCTATTAAACATCCCTCTGATCCATCCATCCTAATGGAAAGAAGAACTTACTATGAGCTCCAGTTTTTCCGGCAACACGGAGGATCCATCCTAATGGAAAGAAGAACTTACTATGAGCTCCAGTTTTTCCGGCAACACGGAGGATCCATCCTAATGGAAAGAAGAACTTACTATGAGCTCCAGTTTTTCCGGCAACACGGAGGATCCGTTTTGCCACATATTCATAGCACAAGCCATAAGTTTTTCCAAGAACTTCTATGATTTTTCTGGTACTTATGTCACCGATATTATATTTTTATGGAATTTAACTGGAACGCGTTCAAACTCAGATCATGCTTGTTATAAAATATTGCACACTATGAAACATTATCATACACTTCAATGCATAGAATTTAAACTCATTTACCTGACGGACGAGTCGAAGCATATGGGATTTGTCAAGAGGATATTTAGGAGTTGGAATTCTATCAATCCCTTTACTTGCATTAGCAATACACCAAGCTTGAATAAGTCGCCGGAGCATATGGTTTGGTGTCAACAACTCAGTGTCTCTAGGCAATTTTTGCTTTGTCACCGGACACGTCACCGCCTCGGCTTCCTCCTCCGCCTCTTCCTCCGCCGTTAACAACCACATCTCGATACTTTCCCGGTCGTATGTTATTCCGGTCACCGTCGTCACCGGATCTTTCATTATCATAAGTGATATCGGACATAGAAAATATTGTGGTATCTCAACTTCTTCCATATTTTTGTCTACAAATAATTAAATTCTTCTTCCAAAATAAAACAAGAATCTAAGTATATATGAACAAGAATATAAGTTTAAGTATATATATAATAATAAAAGTGGTAAGAGAAAGCGGCTATTATATATGTAAAGTTTGAATGGAGAACGTAAAGGAAGAATAGGAATAAAGACTTTGTAAAGTCTAGACAAAACCCTAATATTTTAATATGATAGGAAATATTCGTTTTTTTGGTTTGATTTATTGGTCAAAGGTTGAATGAGGTGGGTCTGTTCTACTTACGAGTAAACAATTGAGAAATGTAAATCACATTTTTTGTGTTGACTTTATAATATTAATTTGCCTTATGGTAGGTGTTATAGAAATTTTTATTCCTCTTATGATTTCTTCTTTCTAGTTATTTTTTTGTTGCTTTGTTTCTTCGCTAGGATAAGGGACAAAAGACAGAACTAGGAATATTAAATTCACGATTTATGTATTAACTCGCTCCGGTCCATAATAAGTGACAAATGCACACCCATTAAGAAAATACTAAATTCTAGAAAAAAATAGTTAGTGTGACTAAACTACCCTTTATTAAATGTTGCACCATAGTTATAGTAACACTTACTTCTGTTCTCAGATGTGAGGATTAAATGACTTTTTAGGGATACGTACATAAGGGTAATTTTGAAAAAATAAATTGAATTTTTTCTTGATTATATAAATGGACACTTATTTTGGACCAAAATAAAAAAACAAATTGATTACTTATTTGTGGACCGGAGGGAGTAATATTTGATATAATTAGGTCGCTTATAAAGCAAACTGATTACTCCGTAAATAAAATCTTTGTATTGTTAATGTATATACATAACTTAAATTCAAGAATATTTACCTTTTTTCTTTTTGGTATTTGCAATGTTTTATGGAAGTTGGAAATGTCTGATTTTTGAATCTTTTTGTTTTTTGTGCTCGTAAAAGGAAATATATTAAAGGCCATCTGATTCATATGGCTTAACATGTGGTTCACGAATTCGTTCATGCATAGGAGGGGCGATAATAGTGTTTTTCCATAGTGGGATTTTCATTCGGTATTCGATATTTATATTGGGACCCTAATTAATTTAGTTTTGTTTCGCATAAGACTCTTTAAGAGAAGAATCGCTCCTTACTGGAATTTTTTTTATTTCAAAACCTCGAATTCTAGACATTTGATTAAATATGGAGGTATCCTATTTATTCCATCACCATCCTTGGTCAATAAGAAGGGGCGGATGTAATCTTTCGGTTACCGGTTCAATCGAACACATAATTTTCGATACTAAGTATGAATATATATGTAAAATATAAACCTATTATATTTAAATTTTGAATCCGTTGTGTCAGTAATAAGCTTTACTTTGAGGTTTTTATTATTTTGGACAAATTACTTTCTTTCTAAGTCTCATCACTCATGATGTGACTGATGAAAAGCTAAGCTGGCTGGTTGTTAAAGTTTGTCATACGAAAGCAAAATAATTTTTGCAGCGCCGTATATGTTTTCAAATGTATTTTTGTCTTCAATACATTTTCTTCTGCCATATGACGTATACAAACCTTTTTCTTCTCTCAATAGAAGTGGTTAGCCAAAATTGTATACTATAATGTTTAAAAAATTAATTTATATACAATAGTAATAGTATAAATAGTTTTTTACCATAAAAAAACTACTCCGCGTCTGAATTTATGTGGCGAAATTTGAATTTCGAGAGTCAAATAAGTTTTTCTTTGACATGATTTTTTCATATGCCTTTTATATATTTTAAATTGTTAACTATTATGACTTATATTACTTTTTATATAGTTTCATTTTATTCGGTCCATTATATACTTATCATTACACTACTAGAAAACTGCCTAAAACCGTCCAGAAATACTGATCGAAATCGGTCGAAAATCTGAAAAAATCGACTGATTTCCGACCGACTTCAACTGGTCGAAAATATGTTGGTCGGTAAAAAATACCGACCGAAGTCGGTCGCAATTTCCGACCGATTTCGGTCGGTAAATTAATTTTCACAAATGACCCAAAAAGAAAAAATTGCCGAAAAAAATCGACCGAAGTTAGTCGGTATTTTTCGACCGAATTCGGTCGATATTTTTAATTATGCAATTAAAAAATGTACCATCTGGGACTTGAACTAGGGTCTGTATTGTGGCATGATACTATTCTACCACTAGACTATTGGTACATTTTGGTTTAGGACTTTCTTTTAATTTATTTGTACTCCTTAATTTTATTTTTGCGCGAAATAACCCACCAATTTCGGTCGATTTTACTAAAAATATAAAATTACCAATCGAAGTCGGTCGGTTTTTTAAAAATAATTGACTGAAATAATTTTTTGAATATTAGTTTTAATTTATTTTATATGAAAAACGGACCGATTTCGGCCGATTTCTTAAAAAATAAATTTTGCGGGATTTCAAAATATTTTTCCGCAAAAAAATACCGACCGAAGTTGATCGATTTCGTAAAAAAAAATTAAAAAATAAAATATTTTGAAAAACCGGCCGACTTCGATCGGTTTTTCGATTGGTTGGCCGCAGTCGGTTTTGGCCGAATTGCCTTTATTATTAGTGGAACTCCAACACGAAATGAATGGACTCGAGGTGTCCAAATTATCGAGAATTGGAAACAGACTTACAGTACATATATTATTATGTTTAGGTAGCTAAATGATCAGTATATGTTCATTTCTTACATATAATCTAAATTTAATTCTATTTAATTTCTATTAGTACTGAAGTAGAAATTCATAGGACTTAACTAGTTTTGTGGTTAGTGCTAATGCCCATTTTATGATAGATATAACGTTGTATTTATCAACAATTATAGTTAGCAGAATTCAATAGTTTTGACTCAAAATTTATAATTTTGTTAAAACTTTTTTAATATGAATAAATAATTGATCCATAACCAAGTAAGCAAAAAAATTATGATTAGAACTCATAAATTATAAATTCTGGCTCTACCTCCGCTTCCGTCTTTCCTTTAAACCACTGAGCACCTTTAAATTTTGTATTATTTTCTGCAAATTTGTTTTAAAAATTAGTCGGTTCCAAACGCAGACTCGCACTTTTTAAGAATTTAAATCTAATTTATTGTGTAATCGTATTTTAAAAAATTATTTTTGTCAATTCATAACTCTATTCAACTATTTAAAAGTGGGACGGAAGAAGTTAATGTCCTCTCTCGTGATGTTCAAGTCAAATAACTCTAGCTACATTGTTTGACTTAAAGATTTCATTATTAATATTATATACTCACTTTCATATGCGAATTCAGAATTTAATGTTTATGGATTCTTATAATATTCTTAAGTTAAGAGTACAGTACTAATTACATTTACAGTTAAATATCTATAGATATATAATTAATCTTTTAACAATTAATTTTCTAATCACACATACATGCACACACACAATGGCACCTCGATGGAGTACGTGACCTAGCCAGAATTAAATCGTTATTAGACGCTTTGGAGGCAAAGACATTAATTGTTTTTTACAATCAATTTCTTCTAATATTTTCTTCTTAATTGATAATATAACCAATTTATTTAATTATTCTTGAGACATTATTAGTTTAAGTAAACTTTTATTAATTTCACTTCTGAAAAATATCTTTCCATCAGGAAAAATGTCTTATTTTTCTGTTAGCAATATTATTTAGGCATGTGAAAGAAGAATCAAAATTTCTTATTTCATTGAATATATCAAATTAGAGTATTATCTTTTTGCTTATACAATTTTTTGTAGTACTTTTATTACAATATAAATACAAAAATAATATGGAACTAATTAGCTCAAATACAAAAACCATCGTAAAGTGAAAGTTAGGAGGAAGTTATTTAAGTGCATGCCATTCATTTGTTATAGTGTAACCAAATTCTCCCTGAAAAATAGCATAATGTTTGAAGCTATGTCATAATGATTATTGGCAAACCAAATGATTATTTACTTACCATTATAAAATGAGAAGGTTTAGATTAAATTTTACTAGATATAGAAATATGATAATCTTTTTCGAAACATACTTAAAAAGAAGATAGAAATACAACTTAAAACGGAGAAAGTACTTTTTTAAATATTCAAAATTATAAACAATCCCTTTTGAGAAAGCTAAATTAAAGAATATATACCCTAATTTTGATTTACTGAATTTCGAAGAATTAACTGATAACCAAAATCGACAAGAGGGGTTGCTCTGATGGTAAGCAACCTCCACTTCCAACCAAGAGGTTGTGAGTTCGAGTCTTCCCAAGAGCAAGGTGGGAAGTTCTTGGAGGGAAGGATGTCGGGGGTCTATTTGGAAACAGCCTCTCTACCTCAGGGTAGGGGTAAGGTCTGTGTACACACTACCCTCCCTAGACCCCACTAAGTGAGATTATACTGGGTGGTTGTTGTTGTTGTTGTTGTTGTTGCTGTAACTGATAACCAAAATAAAACCACTTTCTAGTTTCAAAGCCTAGAAAAAGAGGTCAATGGTCTATGGGCCATACATAGAAGGATGACAGGGGTCTATTTGGAAACAACCTCTCTACCTCAGGGTAGAGGTAAGGTCTGTGTACACACTACCCTCCCCAGACCCCACTAAATGGGATTATACTGGGTTGTTGTTGTTGTTGTTGTAACTGATAACCAAAATAAAACCACTTTCTAGTTTCAAAGCCTAGAAAAAGAGGTCAATAGTCTATGGGCCATACATAGAAGGATGCCGGGGGTCTATTTGGAAACAGCCTCTCTACCTCAGGGTAGGGGTAAGGTCTGTGTACAGACTACCCTCCCCAGACTCCACTAAATGAGATTATACTGAGTTGTTGTTGTTGTTGTTGTTGCTGCGGTAACCGATAACCAAAATAAAACCACTTTCTAGTTTCAAAGCCTTGAAAAAGAGGTCAATGGTCTATGGGCCATACAAATATTTGTAAAAGAACAACCAATTTGTCCAGAAAACAAAGCATGGTCGTTAATCGATCGTTAGTTATGATTTTTTTTTTTGGGTTTCCCCT